AAATTACGGTGCTACTCCATAGATGGATTTGATAGTAGAAGACTATACATGATATGTTATTTGCTCACAAGTATATAGAAGACATTCTTCAGCAACTTTCAACCAACAAGCATACCTTGAGGATTAATACAACTTGATCAAGAATGCAATAAATTCCAACACAACCAATGCACAATATAGTTTGTAATAGATAGGCGTAGAGGAAGCACGGGTACTCCAAAATGGATGCCGTGTCGGTGTCCAATACGTAGGAAGCACGGGCTGCTCCAAAATAGATGTTGTGTACATGTCCGGCAAGTATCGGAACACTAACATGCCGCACTCACGTGTGTCCGCGTGTCAGACACGCCTATTTTTTTGTTTTTTCCGGTAGGACACTTTGGGGACACTTCACTGACACGCGTCCTGTGTTCCGGTGAATTTTTTTTTCATAAATATTTTAGAAAGTTGATTTGGATCAAAGTAAAAAAAATACACCCACATGTATATATATACATATTGATGCCACTTTATCTATGTGTCCTAAATTTATATTCATATAAATAGCAAACAAAAGTATATTGAAAAATTTGCCATATTCCCTCCGTGTTCGTGTCTTATTTTTTTAAAATCGTTTTGTCCCATGTCCATGTTCGTGCTTCTTAAATAGGCATTCAATCTCCAATAGTTCGCACACAAGATATGCCAATTCCTTCAGCACTATGTAAATAAGATGCTAAACCAACTAAACCACTACCATCTAGATAGCACTGACAAAGATGCCAAGTACACCAAAGAGAGGAAATTAGATGCGAAAAGATATGTGTAGGAGGCGTAAATTCTACTACAAATATATATTCAAGAAAGTTAAGAAAAAAATTCAGAATTAGCTTACTTGAGATAAAATCATCTGCATAATCCTTAATATCAATTTTCCCATAGGCCATTGCACCAACCTGTACATGCATGGGGTCAAGAATGTAGTACCAAACAAGTGCATACAAAATTTTAAAGCATAAGTAGCTTTAGACATACCACAAAAACAAAATTCACATCATCGCTAACAGCAGCCACATAGTCTCTTATATCAACCAATTTTTCTGAACTATAGGAGAAGCCTGATATGCAAGAAAGCAATTTTATCATTTCTGCTTGATGCCAATTCATCAGATAAGAACACTTAAAAGGATTGCTTACCTATTTTACGAGAGTTGAGCGGTAAATATTGTGTCACCGGGTTCTTGATCACACGCAATAGTTTTTCACTCTCACCAACAGCAGTTATACTCAATTTTTGTAGCAGCAGCGCTGAAATGATTATTAAGAGACTTAGAAAGTAGGAGAAAGACAAAGGAATTCCTACAAGGCAAAACAATGGAAAGAAATGATAGTATATATAGCAAAATAAGTGTTTGGGTAACTTACACATGATACCAGAAAAGCGCTTATATGTCCTTGGAATACGAACATATGGTTTAATTTCAAATAAAACACCGTTCTCCGTTTTCACATACAATGCTCGTAATCTCCCAGCGACAGGCTGAATTTAAATAGGGCCGAACAGGTGTGAAACACACCTGAAACAAAAATAAGCTCAAGTCGAACAGGTGCAACATATTTCAAACAAATATAATTTAAATTTCAAACAGATTCCCACCGTTGAATATGAACATCAATATTCAAACAATGATTTGTCCGTTAGTGGACAAATAAAGAAACTGTTGCAACTTTAATTAATCTATTTGGAATATATATATATATATATATATATATATTAAACTATTAGTTTAATAAATAAAGGAATAGGTATAAATTTTAAGAAATCGCTTAGGAACTTAAAATTTAGAATTTAGAATTAAATTAAATTCTCACAATTACAAACTTTAGGAAACCACTTAGGAACCCAAATTTGAATTTAGAATTAAATTAAATTCCCACAATAATTTTTATTGAAAAAATTCAAATGAATTTTATTTAAAAAATTAATATTAGACCCGAAAACGACGTTAACTTTCCATTCACTCATAAATGGTTTTGACGTACCGTCTTCACTGTGTGACTTGCCACGCGGCAAGGAACACTTCACCTCTTCGAACCCACCCCAAAAGACGTTTGGAACCCACTCAATTTAAACTAAAAAATATGCCTATATTAAACCATTTTTTCAACAGCTATATGCTAGCCCATCTCACTAAAAAATTAAAAATACAAATCTAAAAGTCACAACTTTTGTAAAAAACATAAGCCGAGTGAATAATAAAGCCAAAATATAAAGAACAAAAGCATTTGTATCAGAAGGAAGAAAAAGCTCGACAAGTCACCAACTTCTGCCTGCTCTATTTTTTTGCCCAAACTGTTCTCTCTCTCTCTCTGTGTCAACTATTTTTCACTTTTCCAAAACTATCCCTCTTTGGGATGTTAAATTTTAAATCAATGGGACAGCCATAAGAATTGTGTATTGATCTTCACGGCACAAAAGAAATCCATTTGGAACATTTATATATGGATTTGCATTTTTATAAAGGCAAATCAATTTGGGATTTGTTATATCTGTAATCAAGTGAAGAATGAGAATGAAGTAGCACTTCATAGTTATTGTTTTATTATTATTTCAATTTATAGTTAAGAGTTCACATAAAAGTGAATTATTTACTTTGAACCCATTCCTTTATAACAGCATGACTTACTTCCATGTAATTTGAAACAGTGGTGCTTTTATCCCAAATTTATTTTGTAATATCAAACCTTTTCTACATGTCCACCTCCAACGACTAGCTTTGTCAAATGCAGTAGCCATGTGATCATTTCGATCTATGTCTTGAATAATTTTTGGGAACTGATCTCTCACAATTGGAATGTACATTTCCTTACACTTGGTTAAGGCCGATTTTACCTTTCGAGATTTAATAAACTCGGTTGTGAAGTTTAAGAAAACGAATCCTTGTTCTTTCACAGCTACAGTAGCAATGAGGCTTAGCCCTCGTAAATCTGCATTTTTGCTTCGAGGGTCTGACCTTAAAGTTGAGAGACAAAGGTCAATATGGGGAAATGCCATGGAACAAGTTTTTGTTAGTAAATCAACCTGAGCCAAAGTTTGAAACATGGTCAAAAGAAAGATGAATGAAAGAAATGATAATATCTTCATGATTAGAGGGCAAATGAGGGAGGAGAAGGTGGAATGATCAATCACACAAATGAGTTGGCTCTTTTTGTATACAGGTTTACTTTTGTCTTAATGTACAAGCATTGTTGATCTTTCATTTACTCCGTTTATATCTTGAAATTAATTTGCAAATATTGTTTTTTGGAAAGCAAATCCATTTAGATATTGTTTGCCACAAGAAAGGAATATAATAAATAATAGCATAAGTGTGTGTGCGTTTTTTTTTTTAAACACAGAATGTGACACAAATGTCAAAAACACGGAATGTGACACAAATATCTACCCGCCAATTCGTCCATGCCTGCTCATAAATCTAAGTATGCAGTGATTTAAGCACAGAATGTGACACAAATGTCTCATTATGGAACTAACTTTTTGTAAGACACCTGTGTTTGATCTCTATGTTCCTAACATTATTTTATATATACACATGTTACTGCACATCTTGTATGACATGCTAGATTGAGCTATGTTGCCTTCCTAAGATCCGCCCTGACCAACAAGGAAAAGATTTTCAAGATGTTGGCATTGGCAGTTGTGTTACCCTTCATAGAATTTGTTGTACTCCTTCCCAATCTTGCTCTTCTAATCTCAAGGAAGAGGAAGAAGTTTATAGCCCATACAAATTCAGTTATATGGATCTATCCGTTGCTACAAAGGGTTCTAAAATGGTAAGTCTTCTTGGGGCTTTGCTTCTTTTCTCTGTCTCCAATCAACTACTCACTAATATGTTCAATCTGTTCTTTCACACAATTCAATGGAATTAAGGAACACCACATACTTAAAATGTCAGAAATACATATTATTTTCCATGTAACATGCCAAGTGTCTGTTAAAATTCCGAAGTGTGGTTGGTATAGACACAAGAACATTGTAGTGTAACATGCCAAGTATTTGACAAAATTCTCAAATCAAATAGAAATAGACTATTTAACTTCTTTAACAAACATTGCTCCCCCCCCCCAAAAAAAAAAAAAAAAATCACATTTTCTGTTAAAGACAAACAAAATGGACCCCACTGCTTCTCTAAAAAAATGAAGAGAAGAAAATGCACTGTATTGGAATTAATATGTGGTTGAATGAAGGGATAAAGAACTTTTGGTTCTTCCATTTTCCCTTTCACACCTCTTTTCTCTCTTTTTTTCTTCATTTGGCTAGCTGACCCACATTATGACAGCTATGCTTCAGTCGCGTTACATTCTTGATATGGGTTTGCGTAATTACCCTGACTTATTTCCCCTTGTTTTGTTTTTTCCTCACTGGGAAGGCGGACTGCACCAACTCCAATCAAGAGCAACATAATCAACGTTGGCAGATTTTTGCTTTTTGTCATTTGATAACGTTCGCAGAATTTTGCTTTTTGTCAAAAACAGAAAAATAAATAAACATGTTTAATAAGTTATTAACGGTGGTAATAGCTTCAGGTACCCTCCAGAGTTGTTAGCCAGAGGGCTGCCAGAAGCTGGTCAGAGATCACAGGCAGAAAGGTGTCCGGAGTTAGCTAGAGGTCACTAGAGGTGCCAGAGGCCAGTGGCAGCTGTGGGTGGTGTTGGAGGAGAGAAAAAGAACGAAAACTTGCTTTGGACACAAGTAAAAACACCCTTTTTTGTTTCAGATTTATTTGACAACTTTGAAATCAATTTCCAGTTTTCAAAAAAATAAAAACGAAAACAGAAAACAGTAAGGGAAGCATTACCAAACAAATTTTAGTTGGTTTGGGCTAGTGTTCAATGCAACCCAACCTCAGATCGACTGTCAAGCCTTTTGCCAAACTTTTAACAGCAAACCATTGTATGATTTCCCCAGACTTTTTCCAGCAACATTTTATTTCATCAATCAACCATAATCAACACTTGCATGGTTAAAGCTTCGTAAGAACATAAAAAACTTCAATGAAAATTTTCTACATCAATCATTTGAAAATAATAAAGCATAAATAAACATAAAAATTTATGTTCCTTAATCATATTACAAGTGCAGGATAGATAACAATACCTACTTCGAAAAAATTGAAAATTGGAAGAAACATGCTATGATTCAAAATTCCACAGAACCTTGGTTCATGGCACCAAATGAATACATATAACACCACAAAATGAGATGTAAAGCGCCGAATATGTAGATGATACTTTGACTGATTGCTGGGCTTACTAGATTTTCCACTTGTGCTCCAAACCACCACAAATTCTGGAAATACAGCCTACTGCACTCATTGGATAACCAGAAACTGCACAAATTGGGAGTTGGGATTTGAAAGAAAAAAAAACTGAGAACAACAAAAGAATGTATCATAATTATGCAACCAATTAACAATTGATATTAAACAGCATAATAGAACATAATCTTCTAAGTTTGGACCAATATCTACTCGAACAATCAGTTCTGGATTAGATCTCTACGTTACATGGGGGTCAAAGCATGTCCACGTGTAACTTTTCTACCTCCCATCTAATTTAGTTTCAAGTGTTGAATATGCATATATATACCATCTTGTGTGGTGTCAATATGGGTATTCCAGGCTGAAGCAAAGGGTCCAAGAAACATCGGCAAACAAACAAGATGAACAACAGCAGAATCCTTAGGAGACTTATGCAGTATGCTCATGAGAACTTTGAGTAAAGTGGCATGTATATGTGACTTAATGGACCTTAAAACTTTGTAATCTATGTATATATAGTTGGATATATAAACTGTTATAATGTCGACCAACCCAAAATTACGGTGCTACTCCATAGATGGATTTGACAGTAGAAGATTATACATGATATGTTATTTGCTCACAAGTATATAGAAGACATTCTTCAGCAACTTTCAACCAACAAGCATACCTTGAGGATTAATACAACTTGATCAAGAATGCAATAAATTCCAACACAACCAATGCACAATATAGTTTGTAATAGATAGGCGTAGAGGAAGCACGGGTACTCCAAAATGGATGCCGTGTCGGTGTCCAATACGTAGGAAGCACGGGCTGCTCCAAAATAGATGTTGTGTACATGTCCGGCAAGTATCGGAACACTAACATGCCGCACTCACGTGTGTCCGCGTGTCAGACACGCCTATTTTTTTGTTTTTTCCGGTAGGACACTTTGGGGACACTTCACTGACACGCGTCCTGTGTTCCGGTGAATTTTTTTTTCATAAATATTTTAGAAAGTTGATTTGGATCAAAGTAAAAAAAATACACCCACATGTATATATATACATATTGATGCCACTTTATCTATGTGTCCTAAATTTATATTCATATAAATAGCAAACAAAAGTATATTGAAAAATTTGCCATATTCCCTCCGTGTTCGTGTCTTATTTTTTTAAAATCGTTTTGTCCCATGTCCATGTTCGTGCTTCTTAAATAGGCATTCAATCTCCAATAGTTCGCACACAAGATATACCAATTCCTTCAGCACTATGTAAATAAGATGCTAAACCAACTAAACCACTACCATCTAGATAGCACTAACAAAGATGCCAAGTACACCAAAGAGAGGAAATTAGATGCGAAAAGATATGTGTAGGAGGCGTAAATTCTTCTACAAATATATATTCAAGAAAGTTAAGAAAAAAATTCAGAATTAGCTTACTTGAGATAAAATCATCTGCATAATCCTTAATATCAATTTTCCCATAGGCCATTGCACCAACCTGTACATGCATGGGGTCAAGAATGTAGTACCAAACAAGTGCATACAAAATTTTAAAGCATAAGTAGCTTTAGACATACCACAAAAACAAAATTCACATCATCGCTAACAGCAGCCAAGTAGTCTCTTATATCAACCAATTTTTCTGAACTATAGGAGAAGCCTGATATGCAAGAAAGCAATTTTATCATTTCTGCTTGATGCGAATTCATCAGATAAGAACACTTTAAAGGATTGCTTACCTATTTTACGAGAGTTGAGCGGTAAATATTGTGTCACCGGGTTCTTGATCACATGCAATAGTTTTTCACTCTCACCAACAGCAGTTATACTCAATTTTTGTAGCAGCAGCGCTGAAATGATTATTAAGAGACTTAGAAAGTAGGAGAAAGACAATGGAATTCCTACAAGGCAAAACAATGGAAAGAAATAATAGTATATATAGCAAAATAAGTGTTTGGGTAACTTACACATCATACCAGAAAAGCGCTTATATGTCCTCGGAATACGAACATATGGTTTAATTTCAAATAAAACACCGTTCTCCGTTTTCACATACAATGCTCGTAATCTCCCAGCTTTATTTAGGGGGCTATCTAAAATTGCTAGGATAGCCTGGAAAGCATAACTTTATGATCAGTGTGGTTGGAAAAAAAAGTTAATAAAATTTAACATAAGCCTCATAAATACTAACTAGAGAAGTAGCCAACTGGCTGCTACAAATATTGTAAAGAAACTAAGTTTTGGACAATGCAACTATGTAGAACAAAATGTAAGCCGATCAAAATGGCCAACGAACTCCACATCGCTGCACTATTTTGAGGTTGAAACCAACAAGTTCTCCTGAACTGAAGCATCCTTGTTCACTACCAATTGCCAAATCAAATAAATCAGGAAAACAAATCCTCCAAAGGGTGACCATACCACAGTCAAGCCAAAGCTTCACTCTACTCCCATTACCCAATTTAAAAACAATTCTCTTAGTAAATTCATCTCACCTTCATAATGTTCTTCCAAAAACCCAACCCATACGGCCCATGACTGTCCCCAATCCCCTCACAAAACAACAAAGAGGACGGGAATATGGTATAAACACTCAAAATAGCTTGGTTTTAAGGCTACACAGATTACATAGTTGGAATGTAATTAGACAGTTCTAAATGTGGAGTGGTTCTCCTTCCACTATGGCCCTCTTTTATTTATCTCCTGCAAAAATCCTCTATTTCATAGTTTTTATTTTTTTTTAATCCTTTTTGAATGTTTCATCTTATAATTGGAGAATTAAACCAAAGAATAAGAACCAGCTTTTTCTAATCATTATACTCGGTGTTCTAGAATGAAAGTGATACAATGTTTTCTGAATATGGGTGTTCTCAAATGAAAATGTACAATGTTTTGGGAACATAAATTGTTGGGATGCTGGTGTTTCCTGATAACCATGATTTAGACTTATACGTACCAATGTAGACCATATGTAAACAGCAAAAAGAGTTAAAACAACTGAACCTTTCAACAAAAGTATCTGGACCGTAACACCAAAGTTCAGTACCTGATGAGCAATATCTGGCCGGTAATCAGCAGGATTTTTGTTATTACTTCTCAGAAATTTGTCATGATCTGAGTTCAAAAGCTGGTAAAACTGTACGGATATAAAAAAGCTGTTAGGCAAAATTACATGCATCATGTGTGCGTGCACACGGATGAAGAGATACTTTAAACCCAATGATGGAAGATCCTTGAGAAACCCAACCAAAATTCATGATGAAAAGCTGAAGCCTATATCCTAAAGCACTTAATGCAGACAATAAACAAATAAAAAGTCCCTCAACAAACACAAAACTACAACAAAAATTTGAAACATTCCCCTATGACGGAAGATCCTTATGAAATCCCAACCAAAATGCTGAAGCCTAAATCCTTAACCCTCAAGAAACACAACTACAATAAAAGTTTGACAGCACCATAATCCTAAACCCAACAAAAATAAGTTTAAGAAAGAATATAGAAATCGAAAAAGACAAAGATAATAAAAATTTATACAGACCTTTCCGAGTTTTGCAACTTCCAAAGAAGCCTTCTCAAGAATGAAAATGGCCCCAGTCTGGGCCTTGTGATCATATGGTTGAATCGGAATACCGGCAAGTTCGTCTACATTTTCTGTTTCTTTCTCTTCATCTGGTGCATTTTCTATCTCCTCTTTACCCATTACCCCATCTATTTCCTCTACCATAAACTGTTCTATGTCTTCTGTATCATATTTCTCTTCTCTACGCTTCCGTTTACGCGGTTTTGTCCGTGCCATTTTGTGGTTCAAGCTTTAAACTTTTTTTTAGAAGAAAACAAGATCAGCATTGATACAATATTTTTTATTATTCATAAAAATTAAGAAGCAAAGAACCAAAAGGACTGAGAGACTGAGCTTAAAGGAAGTAGGTATAAATTTTCTTGTAAGTAGAATCTTTTATAATTTGCATGTTTATGGGGAAAATTAATATGTTTTCTTTCTAATTTCTTTCCCTCAAATTCTCAGCAACCAAACAACAATACAAACCAATTGTCAGCATAATATATAAACAGATCCAGAATAGAGACCACATAGATGAAAGACTCAAACTTTGCAATAGTATCTCAAACTGTTCTCACCTTCTTTCCTGGCGCCACGCGGTTTTGTCCGTGCCATTTTGTGGTTCAAGCTTTAAACTTTTTTTTAGAAGAAAACAAGATCAGCATTGATACAATATTTTTTATTATTCATAAAAATTAAGAAGCAAAGAACCAAAAGGACTGAGAGACTGAGCTTAAAGGAAGTAGGTATAAATTTTCTTGTAAGTAGAATCTTTTATAATTTGCATGTTTATGGGGAAAATTAATGTGTTTTCTTTCTAATTTTTTTCCCTCAAATTCTCAGCAACCAAACAACAATACAAACCAATTGTCAGCATAATATATAAACAGATCCAGAATAAAGACCACATAGATGAAAGACTCAAACTTTGCAATAGTATCTGAAACTGTTCTCACCTTCTTTCCTGGCGCTGTCAGAAGAAGCGGACGAGGAGGAGGAGAGGAGACAACGGCGGTCGTGAGAGGAGCGCGAAGAGCAGTGAGAAGCAGCAAGGCTTTGGGCTTTTTAACTAGTTTAGGGATTGTTTGGGCTTCTCCATTTTTGGAGACTTGCAAACTGTTAATGAAAGCTATTTCGATTATTTTAAGTTATATTATTTTTATATTTTTTTTATGCGTGTTTTTAAGAAAAAAAAATTTTAAAAAAAATTATGTTTGGTTGTGCTTTTGAAATGTGATTCTACATGCTAGTTTCAGCTCCATGTTTGGTAAGAGTTTTGGAATTAATTTTCCAAAACTCTGCCGAAAGCTCTGTTCATTCTACGCGTTTCTTGTATTTTTTTTTGCCAGGGGAAGACCCCCGGTCGTCCCTAGGGACTACCACCCGGACGTCCTTGGGGACATCCACCCGGATGTCCTCTGCTATATAGATTTTTTTTTTTTTTTTTTTTGCAATTTTTTTGTAAAATTGGGAAAAATTTTTTTTGAATTTTTTTTTATTTTTTAATTTTTAATGTGCTTTAAAATAATTTTGAGTTATATGTTTAGTTAGGAGTTGTAAATTTTTGTATCACATATCAAATATCACATCAATAATTCCCTACTCAAATCAAACCTCTTTTCCAAAACTATTTTCAAAACTCTTTATCAAACAAATTTTCTACACTCAAATCATAATTCTACAACACACAAACTCAAAATAGATATTTTTTAAATTATGATCAATTTTTTTTCTTTAATTATGATATTATTTTAAAATTTTAATTATGATTTTTATGTATTTGGTTATGACTTTTTTATTTTTTTTAATTATAACTCAAAAAATATAAAATTATGCCATTTTCAATAAGGTGCATAGTCTTTCCTATGTATTTAAAGTTTTCTAACAATGACAAATAAAGAAAAATCTATTTTATATTTATTTTTTTATTATTTTAATTCATAAATCCAAAATTTATACATTATAATCTTTAGAAATTATGGAGTTCTCTTTATCTCTCTTGCATATTTATTAAATTGTCAATTTTATTACATTCTCATCATCATTAAGGGGTGTTTGGGAAAATAATTTTTTCTAGAATAGTCAATAAAGATAAAATAACCTAAAATAATTAATAATATCCAAATCACAATTATTTTATTTTTTCTCTCACAACTATCAAATTAATTATAAAAAGTCAACTATTAATAAGCCAGTGTCATAAAGGATCATGGTGTTTTTTCCCCTCTTGAAATTTGCATCTTCCAATGGTACTTGGGATGAGTTCATGTTTAAAGGCATGTTTGTTTTCAGAAATAAAATCGAGAGGATTGATAAGATGGGAATTGATAGTGAAGTAATTAATAAAATTGTATTTGTTTTTATGATAGTTTTTAGTGTGAAATTGTTAAATTGTTTTTATATAAAATAACAAAACAAATAAAACTATGATTTTTACATAACAAAAAATACAACAACATTAGACATTAATGTTTAAAAAAAAATGCCCAACATGTAAAAAAAAAACAAAAAAACAAAAGTATTGCCCGGTAACACTCTAAGCCAACACAAGCTATTTTATAATACCATCTCTTTGCCTGAACTATCAATCTCCTCGCCTAAGGCCTTTCAAAGGGGGATTGAATTGCAACGGGTGACCACATATTCCAAAAATAAGTGTGAAGCTCGCTCATTTTGTACTTCATTTTTTATTGTAGGTCTTCAAATAAATTCATAATTTTTTTGAATTGAATTTACAAATTATGACTGCATGGATACGTCCGGAATAATCTAAATAGCTAGAAACACTATTAGATTGTGGTAATTGGAATTCAAATAGCTTAGATTTAGCCAAAAATAATCTGATCGTTCAAATCTATTGAGATTTGTGCTTTGCAAAGCCTTGGATAATTTCTCCTGGATCAATCAGCCCGTGTCAACGTGACGTCAAAGGTTGGTTTTGGCAGCTCGACTCTGAGGCTTAGAGGCTCGACTCGGTGGGGCTCGGCTATAACTCTACCTGCAATGCATTGAACAATTTCTTTTGTTTGCTGGTTTATCTAGTTTTTATCAGTAAACTTTGACCAGCTCGTACGGCTTCATTTTAGCTCCGATTTGCTTAATTTTTTCTTTGTTGAAATTTTCTCAACGAGTGCTTCAATTTAGTATACTCAAAAAAGAATTTTGAGAACTTTGATTTCTAGACAAATTTTGGACTTTGCTATGTTCTGTTTAGGCTCTTCTAGCTCTGATACCACTGATGAGATATGAGAATGGGATCCCAATAATGTATTTTAAGAACATAATTTGAAAAACACACTCAATTTTATTTATGAATTTTGAATAGAAATAGTATCTCTAATTCTTCTAACGGAATATTTTATTTCTCTATCTCATGATCTTGCCCATTTTCATCAACATCAATACAATCAATCTATTTACAGGCCTAAGCCCAGGTATGAACACCTGATGGCTATAAGCTGGTGTGGGGACATAATTTTTGAATGACAACACGTGGCCGAGGTGGCACCGAAGTGTCAACTGAGGTGCCACGTGTCCTGGTCATAATGCCGAGGTAATCTCGGTTAGGTCGAGGTTATCTGCTAGAATACCGAAATCTAGAATAAGCGGATAAGGGACAAGAGTCATAGACTGGAAGAGGACTTCAGTATAGATAAAGATAAGACTCTTAGAGAGTTTATCCCAATCTAACTAGGAGTCCAAGATTAGCATTGAGACAGAATCCATTGGAGCTATGCCTCTGTTGGGATTAGGTCAGTATTGGCTATAAAATAGAGGCACCCTCATGGGTCTAAGGTATACTTTTTATGTTCTGAATAGTGAGTTAAGCACTTTTACTATCTTTGAGAGATAACTGACTTGATCGTCGGAGTGCCCTCGGGTGGACGAACCACCGCCAGAATCTCTTCTTTCTGTGACTGGTCGTTCGAGCTTAATTTATTCTGCCAGTGTTCTCCAGCTGAGTACCAGTTTGGCAGTGTGGTCAGAAATTGACTCACACAATTTGGCGCCGTCTATGGGAAAGAGAGAAGAATAGATGGTTAGCAACGGACAGAAAGAGAAGGTTGGGGACGACATTCTTACTGAGAGTGGGAAACATATTGACCTTGACATCGAAGAAAACAACTGCAACAAAGAGACTCGTGATAAGAATCACGAAGAAAATGACGTCAGCCAGGAGGACGACGTACCAAAGGAGCCAGACCGAGGCGGGTATTATAACGAGGACAACCTCCAGGTATGGAAAGAAAGATGCTTGCGGAGGGACGACGAGATGAAGGGAATGGCGAACAAATTGGCGGACCTGGAAACGGCCGTCAATTTCATAATGCAGAACAATGCCATGCAGCCACCATTCCCGTTACAAGATACGCCGATTTAAGCGGCCAAGAAAGATGCCCGAAAAGGGGCGCAAAAAACAGTTCCTGCAGTCCCTCAGTACAACAGGACCAAGGGACATTCTCACCAGCCTTCATGGGAGGTCGGGCATAGGGAATCAATGAGAGGAGAGTCCTAGAGAACACATCAGACCAAAGAAGCTGACCCCAAAGAACATCAGCATGTTCAATGGAATGAGCTTTGTTTCGATGCAACTAATAGAGAGAGGTCCAAGAGGACTCATAATGACATTGGGAATAGTGCACCAAAAAGGCTAAAGTCAGGAGATAGCCAAGCTCCTGGACAGACCATGGAGGATCTGAGGGATTACCTACAGAGGAAGCGACAAGATACTGAGGTAACCTCACCGGTCAAGCCGAGAACACCATTCTCGGTAGAATTAGAGAAGCTTGAAGCCCCGAAGAGGTTTAATATGTTGAGATTCTAGATATACGACGGTAAGTCGGACCCTAACTTTCACGTCGGCTTGTACCTGAACTTAATGGCACTATACACCGGGAACGAGTCGTTGCTCTGCAAAGTATTCCCCTCATCCTTCGGGGAAATTGCATCAGACTGGTTTCACAAGTTACCAAAAGGAACTGTGAAAACCTGGGAAGGCCTGGCCGAGATGTTTGTGGCCAGGTTTGTGACAAACAAACTACAGCCATTGAGGGTGGACGCCCTGATGGCTCTAAGAATTGGCGAGGATGAAAGCCTTAGGGCCTATGCCAAAAGGTACTATGAGGTATTCAACCGAATACCATGATGCAACTAGGAGTTGGCGATCGTGTCCTTTAAGAACGACCTGAAAGATGACTACCTGCTTCGAAAGTCACTAGCAAAGACGCTACCCAAAAGCATAGAGGAACTCATAGCCAGGATCGAAAAGTATGCCAGGGCCAAGGAGGACACGTCGGGGACAAAGGCGTCGAAACAAGAGAAGAAAAATGCCTCGCCAAACCGAGGCCGAGGTGATGGTGGATGCAATAAACAAGAGGCAGGGTTAAAGGCTACACAGGTAGTCACAACCATATTTCGAATTCCGATTTACAAAGTTCTGGAAAAAAATCGGGAATCAGCCCTATTACAGAGCACCAACAAGAGTTCCTGGCAAGTTTATGGGAAGAAGCCTTGGCAAGCACTGTGTTTACCACAACAAAGATAGGCATCTGACTTAAGGGTGCAGAGCCCTAAAGGCACACCTAGAATACCTGGTAAGACAAGGTCATTTAAAGGACCTGGTAGATGAGGCCAGGACAAGGGAAGAACAAGCAAGGTTGCCTCAGGCACCAACAGCACCGCCTCCACCAACACCACAACAATAAGCAGGTAGACCTCGAGTGATCAATGTGATTCACTCGAAGGTTAATGAGAACGAGATTCATGGGGAAACTCATAAGGTAAAGCACTTGCAGCATGTATACTAGGTCCGATAGAAAAGACCTAGGGCAGACGAGTGCCAGGGACCCCAGTATCCAGCCCTTGGCCGTTTGCCCAATGGGGCATGGATCTTGTTGGACAACTGCCTCAAGCAACTGGACAAAGGAAGTACCTGCTAGTGGCAACAGATTACTTCACCAAGTGGGTGGAAGCTGAACCCTTTGCAAAGATTCGAGATGTTGATGTAAAAAGTTTCATATGGAAGAACATAATCACCAGGTTTGAGATCCCAAGAGCAATAATAGCTAACAATGGTACACAGTTTGACAGTAAGCTAATCAAGAGCTTCTGTGCAAAGTACAAA